GATGTGAATGCAAAAAATGCAAATGACTACACAGCATTGGATATTTTGGAACTAACTCCCACGGATTTGAGGAATACTGATAATTATTTGTCTATTAAGAACTGTCTTCAGCCAAAAGCCTGCGACTCTATCAATCCTCAAAATCAGCAAATGAAACAGCTAATAAAGAAGCGCGATGCCATAATGGTGGTGGTAATTCTGATTGCTACGATGGCTTTCCAAGCTGGGGTGACCCCTCCGGGTGGTGTCTGGCAAGACAATGCAACAGATAATTCCCACAAAGCCGGAGAAGCAGTAATGGCACATATTCATCCTAAAGTGTATACGAGTTTCGTTGGAGCAAATACAATAGCCTTCGTTTCGTCTCTTAGTACGATCTTGCTCTTATTAAGTGGCTCGCCTTTTCGGAGCAGGCTGTTTATGTGGAATTTGGTGGTGATTATGTGGTTAATGGTAACTTCAACTGCAATTACTTATGCCATATCCATTGTTGTGGTTACAACACAAAAGGATAAGAAACCACTGATCTATATTATTGGGATTGGACTCATTGTATGGTGTAGTGTGATGGGAGTTTGGTTTCTTGGCCGGTCGCTGCAGAAACAAGGAATAACCATGTGGAGGCCAAGAAGATTTAGAGATCTGGCTGAAATAAATAGCCGAAATGTTAAACAAGAAGGTGCTTGAGTGAATTTGACATGAATTTTGGTTTCTTTATATTAGCAACACTTTACAGGTTGGCAATACAAATCTTTGTGAGGATAAATGGAGTTACAAGGAGTCCCTACAATCTTGGAGAGATGAGGAAGAAGATCCTCACATTCAAAGTGATAAGGCCACATGTTCAGAGAAGTTGAGTGATAAAGGAAACCAAGGATGACTAGTTCAAACCAAAATGCTTATCCAACGAGATGCAACACATCTGGCATGAAAAACAGCATCAGATTCAAGAAGGATGCAAAGAGATCAGATCAGTTTAAAGTTTGAATTTTTTTTAGAGATTTTTGTGCAAAGTAGTTTTTATTTGTTTCACTGTATGTTTTTCCTATTTAAAGAGGACCTGTGTAACTTCTATTTTTAAGTGCTCACGTTGAGTAAAAAATCTTCAGTACAGCAGGTTGTTTGTCCATTAAAAGATTATATCAATTCCATTTTTCTTCTTGGTATCAGAGCAAGGGTGACCACTAGACCATCACTCTACAGTTTCAAATCATGTCATCTCTTTCCCTAAATGTCGGCAATTTCATCACTCTTCGACTCACACCAACCAATTACCTGTTGTGGTGTGAACAAGCCTTGGCTCTTGCAGAGAGCCAAGAACTCGTTGGTCACCTTACCAATGAAGATCAAGCACCTCCCAAATACAACACACCAGATCCCAATACCAACACAGCTACAGAACCACAAACACCAGAATTAACAAAAGCTTATATTGCGTGGCGCAAGTCCGATAGGATTCTTCAAGGGTGGATCATTCGGACACTCTTAGAAGAAGCCCTTGGACTGGTTATAGGTCTCGATACAGCATACTCAGTCTGGGAAGCACTCAAGAATGAGTATGCATAGGACTCTCAAGAAAGAGAATTCACACTCCGGCAGCAGGTCACTTATCTTCGTAAGGAAGAAGATAAAACCCTTGGGGAGCACATCCGCACCTTCAAAAGCTTATGTGATAGCCTTGCAGCCATTGGGAAACCAGTCTCAGACAAGGAGAAAGTATTTTATCTTCTCATAAGCCTTGGACCTCAATATGAGCCCTTCACCACAACTATGTTAAAACCACCAAGACCTACATATTTGGAGCTCGTGTCACAATTACAAAGCTTTGATCAAAGGCGTAACTGGTTCTCAGGCCATAGTAATGTCACTGCTCCACAAATCACTCCACAATTAGCCTTCTATGGTCAACAACAGCAGTCTCAGTAACTCTCCAGAAATCATGGGTCACAATCTTTTACCTTTACAGGAAGAGGTTTTCAGGCACAACAATCCAGAGACTCCAACAAAAATCATTCAGACAACTCTACTCTTAACACTAGACAACGACGTCCTCCACCCTCAGGCGAACGCCGCATGACCCCAGCAGAAAGAAATTTTGTACAGAGAAGAATGTTGCCAATATTGTGGCACTCAAGGACACATAGCAAAGATCTGCTGGTGGTTGCCAAAGAAGACTACTCAACAAGACATTCCTAAAGCACTTGCTGCACTCACACTAGACAACACCATTACAGATACTGAATGGACGTCTGACACTGGTGCATCAAACCATATGACAGGTAAGTCAGCCATGTTAACTAATCTACACAGATACCACGGCTCAGATTCAGTTCTTATAGAGGATGGATCATCCTTGAAAATTCTTGGCATAGGTGACACATGTATAAAGCAAAAAAAAAAAAAA